CAAATTAATTATAGCACAAATTTAGAAACTGCACTTTCAACATATTACGCGTATGCCTCTTCGTGGCTAAAATATGGCATTATCCTTTGGGGTAATAGTGTTAATGCAGATGAATTGTTCATTTTACAAAAAAAATGTGTTAGGATACTTACCAGAATTGATAACAGACATAGCTGTCGACCCTACTTCATTAAATTTAAATTATTAACCTTAGTTTCTATTTACATAAAAGATATAAGTAATTTCGTATTTAAAAATAAACACTTCTTCACCCAGATAAAAGAAACACACAATGTAAATACTAGGCATAAACATAGGTTATACTTACCCCCATCTAGAACCAAAATGCTCAATTGTAGTCCATATTACATGGCAATTAAAATATTCAATAAACTACCCATAAATATAAAATCTGATGTAAAATTAAGTTCATTCAATAAAAAACTTCATGATTATCTTATATCCAAATGCTTTTACACGCTTACTGAATTTTTTGATAGTTAAATACTAAGTATTAAATAACATTTTATTTTCAAAATAGCCAAATATAATATAATGATGTTACATAGTTATAAGTCCATTTAATTATTTTATTGTATATTTCTTGTATATTGCAACGCCCGACAGGGTCTATAATGGTCACTGTAACTGCTAATGTACTGTACATTATAGAAGCAATAAACGATTTGAAATTGAAATTGAAATTGCACTATGCTCGAAGTTGTTGACGAGTACATTTACCTGGGACAAATAGTCCGACTAGGTAAGTCCAACTTCGACCGAGAGGTCAATCGACGGATTCAACTCGGCTGGGCAGCGTTCGGGAAATTACGACATATCTTCTCGTCAGGTTACCTCAACCTCTAAAAACTAGATTGTACAACCAGTGCGTGTTGCCAGTGATGACTTACGGATCTGAGACGTGGTCCTTCACTGCTGGCCGTGATAAACTCAGAAATGAGGATATCCGCAGTAAAACCAGAGTGACTGACATAGCCCAACGGATTAGTAAGCTGAAGTGGCAGTAGGCCGGCCATATAGCTCGAAGAATCGATAACCGATGGGGAAGAAAGGTTCTCGAGTGGCAGCCTCGTACCGGTAGGCGTAGTGTAGGGCGACCCCCCACTAGATGGAGTGACGACCTGGTAAGATATGCAGGAAGTCTATGGATGCAGGTGGCTCAGGACCGTGCTTTGTGGCATTAATTAGGGGAGGCCTATGTTCAGCAGTGGACTTGTGAAGGGCTGTATTGATGATGAATGAAAGATAGACGTGTTTTACCTATTTTGAGTACATGATGTGATGCTGATATCCATCCAATTTCACTGGAGTAGCAATAACGAATACGAGTGAGCTACAATACCTTTCAAAACATCCTTTGTCTTTAAGAAAACTGACCGGGCAATACCGACCCGTGTTACGAAAAGCTCTCATTAACTCTCTTAACTCTGGGATAACCTCGTTCCCCACTATAATAATTTAAGGTATTATATTTCTATTTATTAAATTTTGCTTCTTGTTCCCGTGTTTTTATCTTCCTCGGTACTTCCGTGTATTCTCCACGTTAAGGTACAACGAAACGAAATGTGTATACTATATAAAGGTTTTAGTGCCTGAAGATTGCTGTGAGACGTAGGGCACGTTAAATGGCCCGAGAAAATGAGTCCCCACATTGTTGGAGATTAGCCGTGACGTTGAGTAGTTTCTAGCTCCAGACTGGATACGAGAACTACATTATTTTATTACACTATGCACTTGCCTCTGAGACATTTTGTGATTTAAGTTAACTATTATATGGTGTAATTTAAACATGAAACTTATCATGAACCTGCGTCGTAACTCGGAATAGAAATCCAAAATAATGTGTTTATGTTATGAATAATAATAACTTTAATCTCGAGGTAGCCGTGGTTAACTATGACATTGGGACTTCCAGCACAACAGTTTCTCCGTGACCATGGGTGCTGCATGTCGAAACGTCGGGAATACAAAATAAATTAATATACGCGACAAAATCCGTAAAAACTAGTTTAATTTAAATAACGATACATTTCAACACATAGCGGAAATTTTAATGATTTATATTAACATTAAATTATTTCTCAGTAGTTTCATATAAATTTAAACCAATTTCGACGATAGCTGAAGTAGATTTTACTTGTTCCGTAATTTATTAATATTGCTAAAAATCAATAAGCTTAAAATACATTTTCTTTAAATTTCATTAAAATATTTTAAAATACTTTTCATCAGTGTGATATCAGATTTAAAGTTGACAGATAGATACGAGATAGCGAGATGAAGAGGAAATGAGAAACCGCGACACTGTCGAATATGGGTACCTAATCTTAGTTTTAATTCAACTTCTTTAGTCTCGTTTTAGTTTTCTTTCTGCTCGGTATAAATATGCCAAGACTCCAAAAAAGTCTGTACACATTTATTTTAACAGTACTATTGGTACTCGTCAGACAAACCGTAGGTGTGTACTACATATTTTTTTAATTTTTTAATTGTATTTATGGTGTATATAACGTGTTTTACTTAACCGTTAAACTTGATATTATTGGCTATTTTTCCTTGTACAATTTATGTTTGTAAGCTGCCTCTTCGATACAGGAGATAATCTTAGTATTATTATTGTTACATAAATACCATCGCGTTATTAGTTATAATAAACACAGATACTTGTTTTGAGTCCGTTTTTGTTTACTCTCAAAAACAATTTTTTTTAATTGTAATGCGACACAAACGTTGCTGCGTTTGAAGCCATACGTTAACTTGTCCCACTATGTGGTCCCATGAAACTAATATAATTCGTAACCTCTCGATATTAAAGTTGCTGAGCGAGCTGTAGAGAAGGTCTTCTGTGTTAGGGCTTCGAGTTTCTCTATGTGCTTTAAGTATCGAAAACTGATTATGAAAAAGCATCTGCTACATAAAGTGACTGGCTGATAAGATTTACAGAGAGCCGATGGATATACTAAATAAGGCAAATTATTTCTACATCTTCTTAATATGTCCAGCTGTAGATGTCAGAACATTTGTTGGAAAATCAACGTAAATTAAAGGAAAAAAAAATTCTTGTGTTGAACTTAAAGGCTTTGTTTTAAATAAATGGAGTTGATTGAGAAAAGTGAGTAAGGACCGTGCTTTCTGTTCATGCCTCAATTAATCTATGTTCAGCTCAGTTCAGTGGCCTTTGGTATGATAATGATAATGATTGATGGATAGCGGTCGCTTTATCAAGTAAGGTGGCGTCACACACTGCTTTAACTAAGTATGGTCTCCACTCTATGACACGTCTATTCCAACAGATATGACCAGCCCATTAATTGAATATTTTTAATATAATTTATAACAATATTCAACAATATTATACGTATGAGGTAGAGTCACGCTGCAACTATATTATAGTTGTAGCACGAATGGGTCAACTCGACCAGGGCAATACCACACTCTCGCAGAATACCAGCGTAAAATAGCAGCGTAAGGGCCGATCCGCATTTGAAGTTCACAGTTCGTTCTCGGTCCGATCTCGGTCTGATTTATTATAATGGAATGGGATTCGACAGAAACTTGACTGTTACGGATAGTATGAATGCACACACATATTTTTTACTTGTTAATATTTTATCAGACCGAGATCAGACCGAGAACGAACTGTGAACGGCATTATAATGAGGATCGACCCTAATGCTGCTGTGTTTCGTATGGTGAGGGTAGAGCACCGGAGACCTTTTTTACCGGAATTGAGGCATTCTATCTTAGTCCTCAGGGGTGACAACGCAACGCAAAATTTTGATCCTTCGTTGAGGATAAATTTGGATGTCTATGGGCTACAGCATCCACTGACCATCAGTTGGACTTCATGCTCGTTTGTCACACTGCTATAAAAAATTGATTCGTTAACCATTGCGATATTTCAATGTAATTTATTTACCGACTTCAAAAAGGAGGATGTATTCAATTCAGCTGTGTGTTTTATATGTGTATTACTTTAGAACTTTTCTGTGGGTGAATCGATTTTGATGATTTTTTTCTATCTAACAGCTGGTACTTCTCGTGCAGTCCCATATATTTTTATAAATATCTGACTAGAAGTTTATTGAGTTATTCGTAATAATGCTTACTTAATTGACTGTTGTTCCCATTTTAATTATATTGAAGTCGATTGCATATTATTTTTTTAATTTTACCACTTTTATTACATAACAAATTTCTTTAACCATTTGAGGCTATTTCAGTATTAGACCGACATACTGAAAGAATTATAGAACAATTAATACGCCGCGCTGCTTCAGTAATTCCCGGCGTACTTCACATGTTGAAATATTTTTCCTCACGTCGCTTTGTTAAATTACTTGTTTCACTTGGTAAATCCGGATTAAAAATTGCAATTAATAATATTATTGTTGGTGCAGCGGAGATCGAAACCTGGTTGCTCGCGTCCTGTGATATGTTAAGCTAGTGTTAGCCATTGAACTACCACTACTCAGTAGATCCATGGTATATTCTTATTCTGCTTTTGCCTGTAAAACACAATAGCTGTGCATGGACCCCTCCCTTTATAGGATGGGCGTTTTAGTTCCTGAAGGCTTGTACCTTTGACGCTGCACCCTGTCTCTGGTATTTCATACCTATTTTACGTTAGGCATGCAGGATATGACAAAAATACCGTTGATTGTAAGCTACGCTTCTTAAGATTCCTATGCCCTATGGGTATATTTAATACATTATGGTACATTGACAATAACATAACGCCCTCCCCCCCCAGGAAATACCACAAAGCACCTGAGCCACCTGCTTCCCACACACCTTGTCAGGTCGTCCCTCCATTTAGTGGGGAGCCGCCCTATATTTTGCTTAGTTTGTCACTTAAGTAGCTTCCCTTCCGATCGGATGTCGGATCTTCGAGCTGTGTGGGCGATCCATTGCAACTTCAGCTTTCATAATTCGTTAGTCCATTAAAAATAAACTTATATTATTCATCTCTCGTTTAGCGTACGATGAATACCATAAATTTGGAAAAAACCCATACCCGAAAGAACGAGTTGTGGGTTCTGGGCCAGACCTCGTTGAGCAGTCGGCGCAGTATTGGATAGACGAAGCTCAAGCGAGTATCAAGGCGCGGCAGACGCGACTGCGTGATGCTAACGGCTCGGCGCGGAACGTGGTGATGTTCCTGGGAGACGGCATGTCGGTGCCCACGCTGTCTGCCGCGCGCACCCTGATGGGGCAACGTGACAACCGTCCCGGCGAGGAGTCGCAACTTGCCTTTGAGGCCTTCCCCACCGTAGGCCTTGCTAAAGTAAGACGTCAATGTTTATTCTTGATTTTTTACTAATGGCTTTATATTATTTACTTGCATTTTATCTAGAAGCATGGCATTTGATTGTATGCGACATTATTGATGAAAAGATTCTCCGGTTCTCTTTACTCAACACATAAAACATTAGCATTATGCCGCTACTTCAGGCTGATATTGTGTTTGAGTCCTTCACTAGTTAAGCCTACCCATCATTTTTGCTGCAGATATTCACTTGCAGACAATCATTGCTTTTGAATAACTAGCTTCTGGCTGCGGTTAAATTTGTTAGTTAAGTCGACTCGACCGGGGACAAGCTCTGACAAAATAGCAGCGTAAAATAGCATCTTAATGCTACTGTGCTTTGTATATTGCGTGTATGTATAGAACCGGAATCCCTTCTTGGAACGAGGCATTCCATTTTAGTATTAAAGAGAGACCACGCATCTGTATTTCGATTCTTAAAGAAAAATAGATGTTTGTGTCTATGAGAAACAGCTTTTGCTTAGCATTAGTTCAACTGCTGGTTTGTTACTCTTTGATAAAAAAATGTTAGAAATGATTATTACTACAGACCTACTGCGTGAATGCACAAATCGCCGATTCAGCGTGTACAGCGTCAGCGTACCTTTGTGGCGTGAAAGCTAACCGCGGCACCATCGGCGTGACAGCGGCTGTGCCACGTTTCGACTGCGTTGCCGCAGAAGAAGATCATCATCAGCTGAGTTCTATCGCTGCGTGGGCATTGCAGGACGGAAGGGATGCCGGTACACGCCAACATTCATGTTATTCTTTTTTAGCTCTTTTGTTACATGGTCCTCTCCCAGAGAGGATTTTCTTTAAACAACTTGGCAGGTTTATTGACGATGATATCACCGTTTCGTCCTTGATACTGCTTCTCGTCGCCTGTCTAAGTCTCGGTATTCTACGCCTGACGTATTCTAGATAGATATAGCCATCGATCGAAAGTCTCACGGTATCTCACGGCAACTTAGATGGATTATCATCGTCATCATAAAATTTAAGTATAATACTAAACATGGACCTTTTCTGGAATATATCGAATGTAATGCATTACTTGTAGAATGTGGCCGAACTTAACAGGTTGCGGTATGCAGCGGGCGGGTTTGTGAGCGCAAAGATAAGCATTGATAATAATGCCACAGATTAAACAGACTATACTGTCTTTGAACTATGATAATGCTTACCTATTTATCTCGTTTAGATTAGAGTTAGGTGTGCTGAACTTAGTGATGGCATTGATATTGTATGCAACCTCATACTGATATTAGCAAATTCACTTTCATATATTACGAGCTTGAGGTTCGTGACAATAAAAACTGCCGATTGAATTACCAAAATTTACACTTTAATTCACTTTATACTAATTAAAACTTAAAACACTAATAATTAACCACACTAATTCACTTTATTTCGCTCCGAAGCTTCGCTTGTCTCGCTAATGCAATACTGCCCCGATCGTGGCATGCAGCGGGTTTGAATACACTTTTACGCCGAAACATCCAGAATATTCCCGTAGATACGGGCGCCGACCGACCAGATGCAGAAAGTTCGAGTGTGAGGCTTCTAGAAAGCTTAGTTCTTCAATTAGATACTAGATGGCGCTGTTGGTTAAAAGATTAGTCATGTCATTTTCTGGAAAGCTCTCTCCGCTCTGTTACCCGATACTAGACTCAACTTAGGATCACCCACTTTAGTAAATATATTTGCTGCTTTTTTTTTTATCGCAAGTAAAACTTTTACAATATATCCATTGCTTTTATATACCTATAATAAATAAATTCTGTTTTATATATTTTTTTTAATAATTCATTTACTACATCGCAACATGTTGCAACAGGAATAGTGACGACTACTCGCGTCACGCACGCGTCGCCCGCGGGGGCTTACGCGCACACGGCGGCGCGTGACTGGGAGAGCGACACGGACGCGCGTGCTGACTGCGGGGTCGGCACCGTGCAGCGTGATATCGCACACCAGCTCGTGCACTCGTACCCCGGCCACCAGTTCAAGGCAAGACAGTGAATTTACGTAATAGAATACACGTCCACATTACAGGTGGACTGTGTGCTCGTTCGTCTCACTTATTCTATAAAAAAGGTCAATTGATCCGATCCAAATAATATTATAATTCAAATAAAGTCTTTTATTTATATATAAAATTTTCGGAGATTTATGTACTATATTTTGTGAACTAGCTTGCAAATATACAAGCTTCTTTTCAAGACGTGGTAGTTCGGGGGCTACGCGAGTATCACTGGCTTGATTACCAAAGGCACAATCGGTTTGTTTTTCATTACGCCAAGTCAGTCAATACGGCCATTTTTTTGACGTTAATATAAAAACTAGGTAGCATGGTCAAGCCGACCCGTACCTGCTACAGCCTTAATATTAGCTGCAGCATATCTCTACCACGTATATAAGCTTATTACCTTCCTAATATTACATTTGCGGAAAATTTTGTAGGGTCGCAAATTAAATACAAGTACAAAAACATGAACTTGATTTTTGTTCCATTCTTAGCTTGGTTTTAAACTGTGGACATACAGAATGTACTTTTAGACTAAATTATTCGCAACTAATCTCCTAAATATTAATTTTGTACAAAAATTTAAGTTTGTATATTATTTACAAGGCATCGATAATCGCATTTTAAAGTTTTGTAGCCCTTTCAAGTTTTGATTCTAAAATGCGTGCGTGCTTTTAAAGTACTAAGTAAATTCACGGATTTTCAAAGTTTTATGTTTCTCCTTTAAAACTTCTGACTCGATTTTTAAGTACTTTGGTGATAAATATTTAATGCATGATTTCCAAAATTGTGCTTCCATTATTAACTTAAAATATTCCTCATTTATTTATGACACTTACTAAATGCTTGTAATGAAATATAACTATTATTGTATTTTAAAATATGGAGTAATAACAACTTTTAAGTTTTTATCTATAATTAAATGATAAATAAAAACACCAGTAAAATCGTAACCCTTTACTTGGGTAGGTTACCCTCTTACGTACTCTACGAGTAAAGTAAAATTACAGCCTATATACGTCCCACTGATGGGCACAGGCCTCCCCCTCATTTCTGAGAGGGTTTTAGGGCAAGGAAGTGTCCGCCAAGCTGCCCCAATGCGTGTTGGCGAACTTATTTATAATATTTTTTTCTCTTATTCCTTAGACATGTAGGTTTCCTCACGATGTTTTCCTTCACCGCCGAACACGTGGTAAATCAATCAAATCGCAATTAACAATTTCATTGGTACCGGCGGGGATTGAACCCGAGTTACTCGCGTTCTGTTATATTCACAGCGAGCATTAACCATCTGAGCTACCATGGCTTCAAACCGACTTTCATCTTCAAGATTTCTGGTATGGGCGACGAGAAGACCTGTTGAAGCTTCCCGAAAGCTGCCCAACCCAACTGAATCTGCCTATCGGCTTCTTTCTCGAAGTTGATTTTATCTGTCTGCACTATCTGATCGAGGTAGATACTCTTGAACAACTTTAAGAATTTTACCATCAACGATAATCGAATTTGGTATGACACGACTGTTAAACATGACTTTCGTCTTATTTAAATTCATACGTAGACCGACACGTTGGGAAGATTCATTTAGGCTGCTCAGCATGTCTAGTAGTTCCTGCAGCAATTCTGCCATGATGATGATATCATCGGCAAAACGTAAGTGTAAGATGTGTTCGCTGATTATATCGATGCCGCTTTCATTGCAATTTGATGTCTTAAGAATATCTTCTAGTGCATTTGTGAACAGTTTCGGGGATGTTCTGTCCCTCTGTCTTACTCCACGATGCAACTGGTAAGATTACCTTGTACTTGGATGGACATCGAGTTTGTAGTGTTTAAACGTCTCAAGACATATATGGCCAGTCAATTCAGCAACGCTGCAAGGAATTTATAACAACCCAAGTTTCTATCGAGTTAAAGGCTTTCTTATGGTCCACTAAGGCCAGATACAGAGGCTGATTATACTCATTCATATTCTGTTTAATTTGCATTACTGTCTTAGGTTCACACAGTAAGATCTAAGGTGCCACAGCAGTAATAATTCGTCAAGTCTCCGCGAGAGTCAATTCGTGATGACGCTCAAAAACAACTTATAGACCTCGCTCAGAAGTGAGACGGGCCGATAATTATCCTGTCACCTTTCTTGTAAAACAAGACTGTCATGCTTCTGCTCCACGTTTTTGAAGTTCTCTCATTTCGTAAAATGCAGTTAAAATTCAACAGAGCTCTTTTAGTAATGGCTTCCCCCATTTTCAAGAGCAGAGTTGTAACTCCGTCCTTTCCAGGGCTTTTCCATTTTTAAGTTGCCTGAGAGCCAACTTGATCTCCTCCAGACAAATATTTGGCAGCTCGTCGGTAAAGTGGCGGATTAGTGTGGCTCTGGGATCGTCGTATTTGAGATCAGGTGGCTGATTTTGGGAGAAATTTAGTGTACCGAAGTAGCTTTCGTTCTCAGCAAAAATCTCAGGCTTCAACGTAAGGGTTTTGCCATAACTTTTCTTTAGTTTTGTTACGTGAGTCCTCTCAAGTTTCCGAGCAAAGTCTTTGGGACCTTTGTTTCGCTCTCTTGAATAAGGGTTGCATTAGAGCGCCGTAGGTCTCGCCGTAGAACTTTTCTTACGAGTCTGGTGAGTGCCAGCTGTTCTTATGGCGCGGTTGTTGTAGCCTCACGTCGCTTTTGCATAAGCTGAAGTGTCTCAGAGCTTAGACTTCCAGTCTATATGTTGCCTACTGCACAACCTTTTCCCGCAATTCTTAAGATCTGAACGACACTAGTGTCCTTGTAGTAGTAGTCTTCGCTAATGTCCAATGTGTGTTTTAGAGCATCGAATCGATTCCTGAGTTCTAGCTAGAAACGTTGGGATCCGGCTACGGTTTGAAAGGCATTTGGTCGGAGCGTAGACTTCATCACACGGGCTCTTTCAATCCTGAAATCGATATTCAAAGTGCTTCGAACAAGGTGTTGATTGCTGCTGTGAATTCCTGTCTGATACTTTCATTGAAAAAAGAATGCACTCCGGTAAAAGATCTGATGAAAACAACTTAATTGAGCTATGGCAAATTGATAAAATTTCTGGCTACGTTATTTACCAATACGTCTGGGACCGGGATCGATTTATGAGTGCTGTTGAATTCCTTCCAGAATATTAATTAGAACTGTTTGAAGGAAGTCACATGCAGTTTCACATGCAAGCAAACAAAAGTACAGAACCATGACGTGCTGAGCTAACGAAAGCTTCAATTAAAGCTTTAAGTTGCAAAGAAAAGTTTTTTTTTATTTGTAAATGGTTGATCACGCTCATCACGATAATTTGATACACCTTGGATAGAACTATAGAACGTATAATATGATAATTAATAGAATCAGGCGTTACTTTGCGGTATTTAGTTAGAGGAAGGTTGCAAATTAATCACTATCTTCGTATAATATGAAACATAATATATAACTGAGACATATCTGAATATGTACTTTTTTGTCCATCATGACGAAGTCGATTTCATTTTTCGTCACGTTGTCGTGCATGCTGATCAGTATTTGCAGCCTGTGGTTTCTGCTTCTAAATGGGTGCGGTCTCGTAATCGATTCAACACCTGTATGTTTTCCTACCTTGGCATTAAGGTCCCCAATGACGACATTAAAGTGGGCTTTAGTGGTGTTGTGTAAAGATGTTTCTGTGTTTTCATACATATTTTCAATTTAATCGTCTGAGTGTGTCGAAGTTGGTGCGTAAACTTGCACAATCTTACAGTATATATTTCAGTTAGTTGTAAAACAAGATATGCTACCCTCACCAACACACTAGACATTTCTAAAATTTTGTAACAGAAAACTCTATTGACGAAGAATCCCACCCCAACCTGGGAAAGATCATGTCCCTCGTGATAGTAGTGTGTCCTCTCCCTCTCTTCGAACTTTACTCAACCCCAGAGCGTGCCATCTTTCATTTTTCTACTACTTTTTATTCTGCAATGTTCTCGTTGTGCCGCAGAGTTCATCGATTATCAATAATACAACTTATTAATTAATAATTACAAACATAACATAGCTGCAGCATGGTTCTTCTGCGTTTAAAAACGTTACCAAGTTGTTTCTGCGGCAAAAAAAGAGAAAGTGGCGACAACGAGTGAAGAAGCCACTCTTAGTCAGCCGTGTCCAAATTTTACACTCTTTACTGGTATCTATTATGACTCACACGTGTGCTTCTCGTGAAAACTGCCAGCAAACTTATTGAAATTGCCCCAAATGCGCTACACAAGCGGCAGCGTCAACTATCAACGAGGGAAGGTCTTGCGCCCCTGCCACCCTGCCGCAGAGCCAACCTAAGATTTTGCCCCTGCTTGCTTATACACATTACAATAAAAATTAAATTAAGTTCCGCACTCCTTCATCCTAGACTGCTCTTGGGCAGACATGTGAGTAGAAATTATCACCACAAGTTTGTAGCATCGTTTAATACTTGCAAAACGGATTTTAAAACATCCGTATATACCCTGTTAATTGGCCAAGCGTGGTCCTTTAAATTGTGACTTGTTTATAAAATACGCTATTTCGATCGAATTCACTATATTCATTTCCACAACTCGCACGACTAAAACTAATACTCTTACGAGCCGTGGAAGAGCAAGAACTCTAAAGCACTCCTAAATAACTATAGCATGCGAGATCGATCCCGTAGGTGCAAATGAAAATATCCTTAATTGCAATTATTAAGTGCTAGTTTTCATGTACTTCATAAAGAAAATAAGTGACGTGAAGAAACTTTGATATCTAAAAACCTAGATAAAACTACTTAAAGATATGCCTTTTAACATCTAAAAATATTAGACGCTGTACATTTTTAATAGTTTCAAGAAAATAAACCAGTCCCTTTGTTGTTTTTCTAGATAAATAATTGGAATTATATATTGTATATTATATATATATATATATATATATATATATATATATATATATATATATATATATATATATATATATATATTGGACGTTGTTTCTTTAGATAAATAATTAGAATTGCGATGATATTTTGTAATTTTTTTCATAATATTTTGTCATAAAGTTATATTGATGACTTATCCCGTTAAAGGTAATCTTGGGCGGCGGTAGACGTGAATTCCTGCCTGATACTGTCATTGACGAGGAAGGCACACCCGGGAGGAGATCTGATGGAAACAACTTAATCGAGCAATGGCAAATTGATAAATTTTCTCGCAACGTTAGTTATCAATACGTCTGGAACCGAGATCAGTTTATGAGTGCTGTTGAATCCCCACCAGAATATTTACTTGGATTATTTGAAGGCAGTCACATGCAATATCACATGCAAGCAAACAAGAGTACAGAACCATCACTTGCTGAGCTAACGGAGGGTGCAATTAAAGCTTTAAGTCGAAACGAAAAGGGTTTCTTTTTATTTGTAGAAGGTGGACGCATTGATCACGCTCATCACGATAATCTGGTACATCTCGCATTGGATGAAACCATAGAGCTGAGTGCAGCAGTGGCCCGTGCAGCGGAATTGTTGTCGGAGGAAGATTCTCTAATAGTAGTGACGTCAGACCACGCACATGTAATGAGTTTCAATGGATATACTCACCGTGGTGGAGACATCCTTGGGCCTTCTGATGACTTAGGAGACGACGGAATACCTTATATGACTCTATCGTATAGTAATGGTCCTGGGTACCGCCCACACAGCAACGGTGGTGTTCGTGAAGATGTTACCAAGTACGATTACCGTGAGTGTCTTATTATTTCATTTTTTATTTATTTATTTTTATTTTTATTTTTATTTATTTTTATTTATTAGGAAAACAAACAGTGTTTTATTACAAAACAACATAACTGAATTAAAACTATACACCATTTACATGTTTTCGCAATTGAATTACAAAAGAGCTTGTTCACTTGATACACTTTTATTAAGATGGTAAATGACACCTAAGGATCAGTTCGAGAGCCATCAAACCAAGAGTCCGTCAAAGTGGTTTTGAAACGAAGTGTTGAAGAAGTAAAGAGATCAAGCTGCGTAGACGCCACTGCACTATTTAAAGTTTTTGCGGCACGAATAAAGAAAGTGTTTTGTCTGTAATTGGATGAGGACTGTGGAATATCCAAACATATAGGTTGCCTTGATGTTTTATAAGGCACCCTCATGTTGATTTTCGAGAGTAAATGCGGAGAATCTACACGGTTTTGAGCAATTTTGACTAGGAAAACCACGTCGGCAATTTGTCTCCGTTCCTTTAAGGGTAGTAAATGGTGTCTACGGCACCCCGCCTCATAATTGCAATCGTTGCTTCCCAGCCTGTACTGTAGATATTTCAAAAATCTACGTTGTATGGACTCGATCCTATCAATGTATACATTGTAACGTGGATTCCATACCTGTGAGCAATACTCAAGAATACTACGCACCAAGGAACAATAAAGGACCTTAATTACCTTTATACTATGGAATTGGGAGCTCGACCGAAAAACAAAGCCCATAGTTTTATTAGCCTTTCTACAGATTTGGTCTATATGCCTTTCGTATGTTAATTTACGATCATGCATAATACCCAGATCACGAATCTCATCTACCCTGTGTAACACCTGATCAGTAAGTTTATATAGAGTTTCCACAAATTTAAATTTGCGAGTGAAAGTCATACAGTAACATTTCTGAATGTTTAGCCGTAAGTTATTACGAAAGCAGTATTGTTCAAAACGTTCCAAATCCTCCTGTAATAGCTTAGTATCGCGTAGTGAATCAATCCTTTTAAATATCTTCATGTCATCCGCGTATAGAAGGAAGTTAGAGTGTTGGAAACAAGAGGCTACGTCGTTTATAAAAATATTAAAAAGTAAAGGTCCCAGCAAAGATCCCTGGGGAACTCCAGAAGGGACATCATTCCAGTTTGATGAGAATCCATTCACTACTACTGCTTGCGATCTTTTTTCAATGTAGGATGTAAACCAACGGTATAAATTACCATGAATTCCAGCAAACAGGAGCTTTTGTAGCAGTATTTGATGATCAATACAATCAAAGGCTTTGCTAAAATCCGTAAAAATAGCGTCAACTTGACCCCCAGAATCCATGCCAGCTGTAAGAAAATCTGTGAAAAATAAAAGATTAGACGAAGTAGAACGCATCGCTAAAAATCCATGTTGTTCTGGAATAAAAAATGATGATAATGATTGATAAACTTGAGAATACACTATGCGTTCAAACACTTTAGCAAACAGGCATAATTTAGATATAGGTCTGTAGTTCTTGATGTCATTTTTACTACCACCTTTATGTATCGGGGGAAATAAATGCGGATTTCCAAATACGAGGTACAAGTCCCTCCGTGATTGAGCGCTTGAATAGAATAGATAATGGTACGGAAATTGACTCTGCGCATTTGACGACAAAGATCGGTACAATCTGGTCTGGCCCTGAACCCTTGGTTAAGTCTAAAGCCTTTAATAACGTTAAAATTGAATCCGTACTGATTTCCACATTACTAATACAAACAGAGACGCTATTTGAGTTTAAAGGTGAGTATTTGAAGTTATTACTATGTGACAATGGAGTAAGAAAAGTGGATTGGAAATACGAAGCAAAAAAGATCACAAATACCATGACCAGTATCTGCAGACCGTCCTTCGTAGTGTAATTTAGACGGAAGTGAGTTAGAGCCCTTATTGAATGATTTTACAAACGACCAAAACTTTTTTGGTTGCCTAACTATCGCATCTTCCGTGCATTTTATGTAATTATTATAGCACTCCTGTTCCAGGCGTTTAGCCCTAGTTCTAAGAAGTCGAAAAGTATCGAGGTCAACCATGTTACCATATACCTGATATCTTTTATAATATTTGTATTTTTCTTTCAATAGTTTCTTGAGTGAACAGCTATACCAAAGTGGAAAAGAGGAAGAAGTTATTATTTTATGAGGGACATGTTTATCTCTAACATTATATAAGTGGGCATAAAATATATCAACGGCATTGTCCAACGGACCATTGTTCAAGTCTATCACCCAGTTCACTTTATTTAGTGAGGAAGAAATGGCCTCGTAATCTGCTTTGTCATAAAAATATTTGAGTCTGAGATTAGTTCCAAGTGAATCGTCTAGAGCAAAGGTCAAGGTCAGATCTAACGACTTGTGGTGAGGGTCCTCTGGTACCAGAGGATCGTTACATGCCGATACACACACGTATTTGTTACACAAAACATAATCGAGTATTCTATTGTTAATATTTCTATTCAAGTTAAACTGATTAAGGTTGCACTCGGCTAATGTATCGAAAAATAATAACTGCGATTCACCAAGGATCCCAATAGGTTGCAGACAGTCAATCTCACCATTCCAGTTGATGTTACTTAAGTTAAAGTCTCCCATTATTAAAAATAAGTCGTTCGGACATGAACTAACAATGAGTGACAGCTTCTCTGAGAAGTTTTGCAATTGCGTATTGAAAGAATTACCTAGATTTTCCTTACACAAGTATAAGGTGCAAATGTGAATATTATTTGAATGTAATCCCCGTTTTCCTTTTTTCGATGTGATTGTAACCCAGATGTCTTCGGCAGAGGAGTGCCATTCTGGGCGTTCCACTGCAGCTAACCGACGGTGAGTAGCCAACAATACCCCCACCTCCATACTTCAACTGTGTCGATTGATAATTCCTATCACGCCGCCAGACAATGTACCTATCATCGAATAATTCGCTATCACTTAGACCATCCGTAAGCCAGGTCTCCGTTAGTGAGATAATATCGTAAGAGGACAGGAGTAAACTCCGCTGGAATGCGTAAGTCTTGGTGCGTAGACCCCGAGCATTTTGGTAATACAGTTTAAGGTCGTACGAAGCCATTAGTAATCATGAAAAACATATACAAACACGTGCGCATACACTTACATATGTAACCACATAAACATACACATACATGCACACGCATACCTACGCATAAAAACATATATACACACACATGTGATACATAAATATACATACAATCCGCAACTTGAGCAAAACCGCAACTAATAAGATTATTATCAAAAAAATAAAACATGAGGTACCAATTATCACTATAGATAATCACAAGACCAGTGGACGTATGAGTGTAACAGTCACTCTCAGCCCATAATAACAACATGAAGTATAATTTCATTATTACGTATATATAAGAATGTGTATATAATGATAAAAATACAAATAAGGATACACCTTCAGGCCGATAATACCCGGAGAGGCGGGTACTCAGACTTAGTAACAAAGTGTTCGCATCCGTAAAATATAAGAGTATATAAAATATATTTTGTAATAATAATATACCTTTACGCGTATAGTACTTGAAGAGACAGCCATTTACAATTCCTATGTACTGGCAATTACTTGAACATAGGAGAGAAAATTGAGCGTAAACGCGTAACAAATTCCAGTTTAACATTAACATTAAGACGACAAGTCCAGAAAATATAAATGGTAATAGATTACGATTGGTGGTACTATTTCGATTGATATTAGTATTAATTCGAGATAATTTCATATTAAAATAGCAAATAATAACAGCAATAAATAGTAGGGTAAATATGAAATAGTTAATAATAGGTCTTGTGCAGTCGAAGTAAATGACAGGCAAAATCAGACTTAAGTTTAGTAGCGCGCAATCTAAAATGGGTAGTACGCTGATGTATAAACGTGCCCATACGGGTGAACGTTGCGTCAATGGCTGCATACTTACATATGATATTAGCTTGAACTCTGCAACACAGTCATATTTATGGATAAAATAAAACGTTAACAAACAGACGGTGACGGCTCTCAAACTTTGTAACAATATTTCATAAGACAATAAATTTTTTGAGTACAAAAGAAAAAAGGTCAAATTAATATTTAAACTATTCTGACAAGATCTTTCTCGCACCTTATAAAAAATATAGGAGAAGTATCAGACTTCCTGGCCATAATTTTTGAGTGCTTAACCCATATATATTTAAAATTATTATTTTTCGCCAGAGATTTGGCTTTGCTCAGTAAAACCTTGTTCCGTTGAGTTAGGTGATCATTCACATAACAATATCCAGTAGATGCAAAGCCCATGTCCGACACCGACAGCCGAGTCTTACGCGATGATGAAACAAAATTTTCCTTAATATATCGATTGTTAAAGGAAACAATTATTGGTTTCTCAACATTCGGTACACGAGTGGGCACTCTGGCTATATAATTTATATCTTCTTTTTTTACAGGAAAATTACACATGTTGCCAATTTTCTGAGTTAAATCATAGAGGTCTTCATTATTTTTTTGTGGTATTCCCCTGATTTCAATATTGTTGGATCTAGCCCACTGGTCCCTGATGTCAAGTTCCTGGTTTAACTTGGTTATTTCCGCACGCAGCCCTGATACGTCATTCGCCATCTCCTCCGCTTTAGCTATCCTCGATTCCAGGGATTTAACAGTACTCGAAAATTTATCTATTAACTCATGTGCCATTTCTAACGACGACTTTAGACTAATGACATCCGACTTGATGGATTTGATGTCTTCCATCAGCGACGCCAATGGAGCCAACCGTAGATTAATATGGCTCAGCTGTTCTAGCACACTATCCATCTGACTAATCGCTGGTGAGTTAGGAGTCGGCGAAAGTGGTGGGCCCGCCTTGCACTTCGGACAGCGCCAGTTGTTCTTCCTGTCACCAAGCTTCCGAAACCCGGTCTCAGTAACTCCAGCACAACCGAAGTCGTACCGATTCTTACATAAACTGCAAACAGGACCGTCAGAGTGTTGAAGGCCGCAACCAGAGCAGGTAAACATTATGAAAAGTTTGAGAAAGACTGATTGAGAAAGATTGAGATAACTATTCAAACGAACAAGCGTGTGTTTAGCGACAATGTCAAAGGACGACTGACTTTTTCTGCATTAATTGTGTTAATGAGGAACAAACACCAGCTAGTGATAACAGTTTCTTGAGTCCACAAATTTTTTAATTCATTCATGGGGCAATGCATATGCTTTTAAAACATAGTCTTACAATCACAAGTGGTAAAAGTAGAACACAAGTTTTAGTAAAAAATATTTTTAACTATACTTATAGCAAAAAAATTATTTTAATCTATTTTGTGTTGTAATGAAACCTATTTAAAATTTTCTTGGCCGTTTATAATTTTCGTGGGTATTGGGAAATTGTCGCTGTGGTCGAAGTCGACCATGAAGTCATGACTGGATATGATCGGCTCATCATTATTATGGAGACGGGGACGGTGGCTGTCTCATACTTCATATTTGTAAACAGGTGTTTGTGGGAGCTGGTCTACTCGTAACTTAATCCGAGCTTTAACTTCTTCTTTCTCATTAGTCAACTAAAATATCACTCCTGAGAGACACATCTTACTTGTATGGAGTAATTGTCTACAATACCATGCGTTGCAGGTAGCTTAGCTTCGCAGATTGAGACTTCTTAATTTTTTATAGCCAATCAAAAGTACACTACGAGCGACTGCATAACCCTCCCCCATTTGATACTTCGTGGGCGAGGAGATAATTGTCATAGTCGTTACGTATATCGGTAGCTATTTTAATTATTTTTTGTGTTTATGAAGCAAACGCTACCCACATTTATATTATTTTTACAGAAATATTGTTCAAGCTATAAAGGTTACAAAGGGTGGACATAAAGCCAGTCAGCATTATCTGTCAGTGAACCCACGCCGTGGTGAAAGTTAGTGGCAGATGACGTAATTAACTAACTATAAATAGATAAACAATGAACAGTGAATTACAAAAATACATATAAAGACAAACAAATACATAATTTTATTATATTCTATTCATATGTAATAATTATACTTAATACACATACATATTATCTGGATAAAAGTAGCTATACTAATTGAAGTTATACAGACGACGTTGTTTTCGAGAGATGTTCCGTTTCATTTATCTTTATGACCATTTCCGATACCCACATGGTGTTATGGCGCTACCACAGAGCGGCGTTGAGATTTAGTTTAATTTCAAGCCATAATCTGATGGGCATTCAATCTGATGGGATTCAACAATACAACAAGGACGTAATATAATCTGATGGGATTCAACAATGAACTTGTGAAGAGCTGTAATGATGATAATGATGATGAATTTAATATCTATTCTTTCATTTAATGTTAAATAATGAATTCTGTTGACTTTTGTGTAGATGACATAGACTTCGTGGCACCAGCGGCCGTACCACTGGAGTCGGAAACACACGGCGGTGATGACGTGGCGGTGTTCGCGCGCGGGCCGCAGCACCAGATGTTCTCGGGTCTGTACGAGCAGAGCCAGCTTCCGCACCTCATGGCGTACGCGGCCTGCATCGGCCCCGGCCTGCACGCATGCGATTAAAATATAGTTTTATGCATTGTATTAAACTCATTTAATTGTATTGAATTAAACTCATTTAAAGATTTTATCGCGTTTAATTTAACATATTTTAATTGAGTTTTGACATCCTGATGTCATAGTTAATCTGGTGTATTTTGATTTTTAAATTTTTGGTTCAATCTACGCAGAACAAGCTTACAGTACCTTGAAGTGTTGTAGTGGTATGCTTGGGTTTAGATTTAATAATTTAATTAGAATCTAGAATAGAATAGAATTTACTCGTAGAATACCCTGCAGATGTTATCACCCAGCCATATTCATTCATATAAATTTGGATATTTTTTTTAATTTCAAAAGCCTCGCATATCATCCTTGGTAAGAATCATTGTTCTGGTGCGAGAATTTTTAGGTGTATCAATTCTGATGGGTGGGACAATCTTGAACATATTTACAGATAGCAAACATTCCGTCAAACTTAACGTCACCTAAATGTTCTTTTACCCGGATTTTTATTGATCTTCCGTGCAGAAAAAAAAGATTTCATCTCTTTTATCTTTTTTATTTTTTTTCGTAATGAATCTAATAATTGTCAAATGTATTTTTATAATCTATAACTAAATGTTATCCTTAGGAACATATCTATGTGAATGGGTGGCGCTCATTTGCAAACATACTCCGAGCGCGCGTAATCGTTTCAGCTCGCGTCCACGCAGCAGCCGCGGGCCGCGGGCCAACGAGCGCGACGTGTTGTGCAAACCAAAAGCAACCACAATGCTCCGTCACAGCACACACATGGCTCAATCGCTGTTGGGACTGAATCACTTAGCGTAAAACATTAATCTGATTTTGGACACGCGACTCGTGAACGTTATCTAGCCGGATTAGAAAATTATTTTAAAACGAGTCGAAAAGGAAACCCATTTTTATGTGAGTTGATAACATTTAACTGTTGACTTGGAACCGGTAACAGATGTTGCCAATTTTTTTAATGAATGTAGGTGATAAACGAGCGCAGTATTCTCGATAAGTTATGGCCTATAAGCACCTTTATCTATCCTTTTTTAAGAATCAAAATGCATTTGAGATGCCTCATTACCAGTAAAAGGGTCTCTGATTCTTTACACTCACCATATGAAACACAAGGAGACCGTAGTCCTTCCACGGTCGAACTAAACTACTCTTGCTGCGAGCATAATATATCTGCAGAAAGGCTTTATCACGTTAAATGCATTTTATAACTGGTTTAAACAAACCATAATTGAATAAACAATTTTTTTCTTTGGCTTTCACCTTGGCGGTGACTTTATGAGGTGGTGGCGATCAGTACGATAGTATCAGTCCTGCGTCAACCAAGCCTCCTGGCCATCACGATGTTTGGGTATTTCCAATAGTTGATTTATTTGCTAAAAGTCATCAAGCAGTGGATTTGATAAAGGCTGATAAGGGCATTGTATGGATTTGTCCACACCAACTATATCACATTTGACAAATGATGAAAGATAGCTTCTGGCTCTGATAAGAATTTATTGATATTAAAGTAATTTATACGGATAATGTTAATTATAAAATGATTGATAATGTGAGAACGTGCGTGGTAGAGCCATGCTGCAGCTATAGTTGTAGTACGAGTGGGTCGGCTCGACCGGGGAAGGACCACGATTTCAAGGAATACTAGCGTGAAATAGCAGCTTAATACTGCTGCGTTTCGTATGGTGAGTTTAAAAAACTGAAGACCCCTTTTACTGGAATGAATTTTAATGATATGGGGCATTATACTTTAGTCCTCACAGCTAACAACGAAACTGCATTTTGATTCGTAGTCGAGGATATATATATATAGATGTCTATGGACCACAGCAACAACTTAATATCAGGTGAACTGTGCTCGTCACCCTTATCCTATAAAAAATACACGCGGCCGTAGTATGACGAGAACTAGTGTAATAAAACAATGTGAAATTGAATTGGTATAGGCAAAATGTCGGTGAATTTATATTGAAATAAGTTTGTAGCATCTTCTATCATTTTTGTTCCATCGTGTAGCCGTAGAGTAAACTAATTAAATACCCAATATCGTCTCGTAGGTGCGGTTAAGAGGTGATAGAGAGAAACTGAAATAGGAAATGGGCGCTAATATATTCTTGATTACAATACTTAAAATAATAAAAAAACTCAGGTAACCAATCACCTTGTCAAGAGTGGCAACTACGGCGATCCTTTTTATAAGTAAATTTTAGGGGAAGGCTGTAATGAAAGAATGAAAAATAATGCATCATATTTTAAGTCACATTACATAATGTTCTCCTGACAAAAATTTGGTCACATCTGCGCAGGTCGGGATTATAGTACTTAAGTGTATGTGCAAGCAAAAATGCACTCCCTATTCCCTCAATTTCATAGTCCCATTGGACGACAGTTTGACACAACCAGCGAGAGATCAGATGTAGAATCAACGCTTCCGCTGCAACTGCTCTTCGAACCGCGCGGGAGTGAAACGCAATTTTCTGAATCTGGGCTACTAATGAGAAATTTCGACATAAAACCCTGTAACTGATTTTGGCCTGACCGATTTTTAATTAGAACCCAAGACCACATGATAATCAGTCGAGCTTACAACCCCTAGACCAACGATGTAGTCAAAAAGACAGTAGACCAAAATGGCAACCAAATTAGTCGTAGGATTGTTTAAAAAAATATGGAATATGTTATGCATATATAGCTCAAAGAATTATATTAGTTGTAGGTTTAAATAAATGTATTAGTTGAGCCTATAATAAAAGTTAATATCAACAAGTTAATAACATGATGTTACCGACGCATCAATAGAAGTATAAATGTTCCTCAAAATAAAAGAATAGAAAGAACTCTATGGAGATATCAACATTCGCAAATCCTGGTTTATTTTCGAGCAGCGTTATTAAAAGCTCATGCTGGTAAGAACCTGTTCACAATAATGTGTACAATCCCGCATAATAACGTGTGCAAGCGCTTCGTGCGGCGAATGTCGAGTGTCGGACAGCGGCGCGGCGCGGCGGCGGTCGCTCGCGTGTTGTCACAAACTCTTAGTGCACACTAATAAAGGCCTGAGCCGCCTCACTCGCAGCGCTCAAATGTTTGATCAAAGGCTAATTAAAAGAGGAATATTTCTGGTTGAGCTTTTGCCAACATTTGGTTTGTTTAATACAGTTTTCGTTTATTGTCTGCATATGTCACTTCATTTATACGTGCGTGTACACGTTTACAATTTTAGAACTTTAATCTGTATTCGGAAGTTAACATATCATAGTTTTTATAAAATACTTAACAAATATACTAATACTAACATACCAGGCATACCATCTTGGTCCCCTAAGGTGACAACGCATACTACGAGTATAATAAAGAAGGCTTTCTTTATTTGAAGTTAGTCTTATCAAAGAATAGTAGCAAAACACATTACTACCACATTTTAATATACTCAAATGTATACAAAAAGGTATATGAAAATGTTATACGTATCGCTGCTCAATACAAGCCTTCTTTTGTTTTGAGGAGAAAGTAATTGGTTTTCTCTGTGGTGACGGCATAAGAAATTTCCGTTACGTTCTAATGGGCTTCGTAAGAAGGAACATGGGAAATGGAAAATGGGAAATATTAGAACAATTATAGCTTCCGACAGATAGTGATATGGATAGTGATCTCGCCTATACCAGAAACAAATACCCAGGACGGCGACAGAAAGCGGTGTCAAAGTTGCGAGATGTTTGGTGCTTCGGTCGCCAATCCATCAGGTAAGCGTTGCGGTTAAGAAAGCGTTGCAAATGCTTCTTTTATGACGCTGAAGGAGAAAAGTAATTGGCATATAATAATATAATTAAGAATTGGTACTCGGACATCATTCCTCTTTAGGCGAAAAAAAAAGAAAAGGTTTAAATAAATACTCATATAACACATTATTGAAAAGCACATCAAAACATATCAAACTGGTTTAGTCATTGTGTAGATTAGCGTGCATAAAGACAAAAGGTCCACTCACGATTTTATCATATGCACAGATAAACAAAATTATGTTATCATTAATAGCGCTATTTTAAAGTAATTTTTAATCAAAAGTTCTGCATTGATAATTTTTTAAGTTTATGGAGCTACAACGCTTACTTGGAAACATCATGTTATAGCGGCAGCTGACTAAATGCGAAATATTTTCGGGCCAAGTACAATGATTGGAAGGAATTCAAGAAATGTCACAGACACAGGAAGCCATAAATCAAAATGGTAATATTTCAAGTTGGCAAATGTCCCGCACCTCCGCGCTGCAGTCATTGTATCACACAGCGCCAATCTGTCAAACGGAGTCCTCCTGCCGACTTTGCACAACTACTTCATCAAAATCCTCTTACAATTTCATTCCAAATGTAGTGAGAACTTTTCTAAAGTATGATTGTTCTTAAATCTCAATAAAACTAGCGAAAATAATTATCAAAAGCTATAAAATATATTATGTTAAGAGTTTAAAATTTCAGTCCCTGTGTCTGCCTGTGTGATGTGTCAATGCCAGGTATTTAAAAAGAGAGACAAAACATTAAAAATAAGTTGTACAAAATCTAAATTCTATCTATCTGTAGCACTCTACTGCTTTACAAAGGTTTAAATAGAGAGCATTCGGCACGGTTGGCAAGCCAGGTGATGGCCAACAGCGTCTTCCAAATACCAAACAGAACACTTTAAACTGGGGTTTGCCTACCCGTCTATTAAGCGTAGTCTATGAAAATATCCCCTTTATGATTATGAACCAATCTATGGGAAGGGTTGTGTTCAGCGGTGGTATTTTTTGATGGATGGATGGATATAATACAGTCAGAGTATTTTACGCTTCTGATATAAATGGTCAAACTCCTATATATTATAATGCCATATTTTACATTTTTTAGATATTTCTATAGTCTCCTTACCACATTTACTGGACATAAAAAGGTGACGGATTCTTTTTGTACACCATCACCAAACAGCAGGAATAAGATATGGACTCAATGGAGACGCAT